GGGGGGGGGTTCTGATGTTCCCTGGCTCATGTCGCGACATGGGGGGGGGTTCTGATGTTCCCTGGCTCATGTCGCGACATGGGGGGGGGTTCTGATGTTCCCTGGCTCATGTCGCGACATGCCCCGCCCCCCCCAGCGCGGGAATCCGGTGCTCAGGTTCATCCGGAACGTTCCCTGGGAGTTCGGGGACGTCGTCCCTGATTACGTCCTGGGCCAGAGCAGCTGCGCCCTCTTCCTCAGGTGAGCCCAGGTGTGTCCAGGTGTGTCCCCAGGTACCCCCAGGTGTGTCCAGGTGTCCCCCCACGTGTGTCCAGGTACCCCCAGGTACCCGCAGGTGTGTCCAGGTGTCCCCAGGTACCCCCAGGTGTCCCCAGGTGTGTACAGGTGTCCCAGGTGTGTCCCCAGGTGTGTCCCCAGCTGTCCCAGGTATCCCCAGGGTATCCCCAGGTGTCCCCAGGTGTGTTCCAGACTGGGTTCTAGATCAGGTTCTAGATCGGGTTCTAGACTGTTCTAGAATGTTCTAGACTGGGTTCTAGAGCATTCTAGACTGTGTTCCAGGTGTCCCCAGCTGTCCCAGGTGTGTCCCCAGCTGTCCCAGGTATCCCCAGGTGTCCCCAGCTGTCCCAGGTATCCCCAGGTGTGCCCAGGTGTGCCAGGTGTGTTCCTGTCCCAGTCTCAGGTACCACCAGCTGCACCCCGAGTACATCCACGAGCGGCTCCGGGCTCTGGGGCGGAGCTTCGGCCTCCAGGTGCTGCTGCTGCAGGTGGACGTGGTGAGCTGGCACTGTCACCTTTGTCACCTTGGCATTGTCACCTTGGCATTGTCACCGTGTCACCGTGTCCGTCTGTCCCTGTCCCTCACCTGTCCCTGTCCCACCTGTCCCTCACCTGTCCCCATCCAGGTGCTGCTGCTGCAGGTGGACGTGGTGAGCTGGCACTGTCACCTCTGTCATTGTCACCTTTGTCACCTCTGTCACCTTGGCATTGTCACCATGTCCCTCTGTCCCTGTCCAATCTCACCTGTCCCACCTGTCCCCTCACCTGTCTCACCTGTCCCACCTGTCCCCTCACCTCTCACCTGTCTCACCTGTCCCCTCCCACCTGTCCCCTCTCTCACCTGTCCCCTCCCACCTGTCCCCTCTCACCTGTCTCACCTGTCCCCTCCCACCTGTCCCCTCTCTCACCTGTCCCCTCCCACCTGTCCCCTCACCTGTCTCACCTGTCCCCTCTCACCTGTCCCCTCTCACCTGTCCCCTCACCTGTCTCACCTGTCCCCTCTCACCTGTCCCCTCACCTGTCCCCTCACCTGTCTCACCTGTCTCACCTGTCCCCTCTCACCTGTCTCACCTGTCCTCTCTCACCTGTCTCACCTGTCCTGTCTCACCTGTTGGCAGCGGGATCCCCTCCAGGCTCTGCAGGACCTGGCCCGGATTTGTCTCCTCAGCGACTGCACCTTGCTGCTGGCCTGGAGGTGCCGAAACTGCCCCAAAACGGCCCAAAATGCCTCAAACTGACCCAAAACGGCCCAAAACTGACCCAAACTGACCCAAAACTGCCCCAAAACTGCCCCAAAACTGACCCAAAACTGACC